ACCTCCACACCTGAAAACTTCATGGACTGCATGGACAGCAACTTACTTATCACCAAAATTCTAGAAATGTCAATTCAAGAGTATTTTTTTTGACCATATTGCTAGGTGTGTTAACTGAATTATATTAGCACCTTTAGTCTTCTGTGGACATTAGGCTTCCTTTCTGGGATAGGAAATGCTCTGAATATTGGTAAATGAAACTTTCTATTTTACAGCCATTTCTACTGGTAAGCTGTGAAACATTAATGTTTAATTATTATTTCTCCATTCAGATAGGTTGGAAAGCTCCTATTGCTAGAATGGGGACTTTTTTCTCTCTAAACACACCTTTCAATTCTATGCAAACAAACATTTATGGAGCTTACCATTTAGATTTAATTCTTATTTAATTATACACTGAATAGAATCTTACCTTAAAGACAAAACATGTTAACACTCTAACAATTTCCTGAAAAAGACAATGTTTTGTATCATGTATACTATAAATTACATTCAATTATAGTACAGTGAAATTCAAGGTTTCCTGATCCTAAAGCATAAATATTTGTATCTCAGTGAGACTCAGAATGCTATAACTGTAATCTTGATTTCTTTATACTGCAAGATATGGATGACTGCTTCCAGTGCCAAGAAGATCGGTATCCTAACCAGGAGAGAAACCAGTGCATCAGCAAGAAAGAAAACTTCCTATCTTATGAAGCACCTTTAGGCATCAGTTTGGCTCTTTTGGCTCTGGCTTTTTCTGCAACTACAGCATTGGTGTTTGGAATCTTCATCAAACATCAAAACACTCCCATTGTCAAAGCCAACAACCAGAATCTCACCTACACCCTGCTCATCTCCCTCCTGCTCTGCTTCCTCTGCTCCTTGCTATTCATTGGGCGCCCCCAGTTACTGACCTGCAATCTACGACAAACTGCCTTTGGTATCATCTTCTCAGTGGCTGTTTCTTCTGTTTTGGCTAAAACCCTCACGGTGGTTCTGGCTTTCATGGCCACCAAACCAGGATCCAAGATGAGGAAATGGGTGGGGACAAGATTTTCCACCTCTATTATTCTCTTTTGCTCATTTATCCAAGCAAGTATTTGTATGCTATGGCTGGGTACTGACCATCCATTCCCAGATCTGGACATGCACTCTCTGCCTGAAGAAGTCATAGTGGAATGCAATGAAGGCTCAGCCAACATGTTCTACTCTGTTCTTGGTTACATGGGATTGCTGGCTCTTGTCAGCTTCGTTGTGGCTTTCTTTGCTCGGAAGCTGCCAGACACTTTTAATGAAGCCAAATTTATCACTTTCAGCATGTTGGTGTTTTGCAGTGTGTGGCTTTCTTTTGTTCCATCCTACTTAAGCACCAAAGGGAAGTACATAGTGGCTGTGGAGATCTTCTCCATCTTGGCCTCCAGTGCTGGAATCTTGGGTTGTATCTTCTCCCCAAAATGTTATATCATTGTCTTCAAGCCTGAACTCAACTCAAAAGAGCAGCTAAAAAAGAGAAATAAGTAACAATCTAACTATTAAAATCATTATAGTTGATAACCTTTTACATGTTTTAAGGGGTATGTGTTTGGGAAGGGTTCAGCTTTCAGGTTCTCTTAATATAGATGTTGCTCACACTTCCAACATATATTTGAACTAGTTTTGTACATTTCCCCTAACTGCACTGGTGTTATATACCATGTGTACATCATCTTCATTTTATTCTCCTTCAATAGGGAACAATCTGTAAATTTTAAATCACTTTTCCATAATTTCCCCCCGTTTTCCATCATAATGCAGTGACCTACATCTTATACCCATTTAATCATAACTGATTTTACCTCTTCATCTTTCGTCTCCCATCCTAATAGTATACTGTATGTGGCCTTCAGTAATTTCACTTTCCCTTCAATTACTTCCATTTGAGACCTAGATCTTGTATAACTAAATCCTTTCTTGCTGTCTTCTTTATGTGTTTCATATAGTTGTCGATAATGCAACCAACTCTGAAAGTAGTCTTTGATCTCATCATAATCTCTTAATTTCCATTTTCCATTATGTTCCTTTAATAAATCAACATATGTGAGCCATTTTCCTTTCTTTCTAAGTGGTTTGAGCAGTAATGCTTCATGTGGTGAAAGCCACCATGGTGTCTTTTGTTCCAATAAGTCTTTGTATCTCTCCCATACTCTCATTAGTGATTTCCTGTTTACATGGTTGTAAAAACTTCTATGAACCTTCCCTTTCCTGTACCATAAGTATGCGTGCCAGCCGAATCTGTTGACATGTCCTTCTAGTTCTAATGACTCTTGCTTATCTAATCTCATCCAGTCCCTGATCCATACCAAACAAGCAGATTCATAATACAATTTAAGGTCTGGGAGGGCAAATCTGCCTCTATCTTTTACATTTGTAAGTATTTTATGTTTTATCCTTGGCCTTTTGCCCCCCCCCCAGATAAATTTTGAAATCTCTTTCTGCCATTTTTAAAAACATTATCTTTCAGGATGAATGACAGATCACTTTGATCTGTCAACTTAATCCCTCATTTAGGCAAGAAAGAGGCCTTGTCCTGAACCCAGGCATCCTCTTAGGTAAGTTGTGATACTGCACACAGCGAGTGTCAGGATCTCGCAGGAGGAGAAAGAGTAGTGGCAGCTAGTGGTCCAGGAGGCACCTGAAGGTGGATTTTGAACCAGGTTCAGACTGGTGGGACAGGGAGGAATCACCAGCGGAGAGTGAGGGTGAAGGGGAGCAGCTTGAGGTAACCACAAATGCTGATAGAGAAGGAGCGAGGGTTGTGTCTCCTGCTCTGCAGTACAGTCCTGATTCAGCTCCTTCCCCTGCTCCACTCCCAGCACTGGATAAGAAGGGACGGGAAAAGGCTAAAATGATTAAGAAAGCTGAGTCACCGTGAAAAAAATGCAAGGACAGAGGTATAAAAAAGGGGGAGTGAGTACAGAATTTTAGCTTCTGCAACTGACGTGCTTATCTGATGGATGTACTGTGTGCTGACTACTTGATTACTAAGCAATAAAGTTGATTTCTGCAATCACAGTGCCTGGTTCTGCTTAGAGCATCAGACAACAAACTGAGGGGTTTTTCTGGCAGCCTGACAGTGAGTGACAAAGTACTCAATGCTAATAGATGCCATGCTTGCAAAACAGAAAAGCAATGTTAACACTGGCCAAGTTCCCAGTGAACTATTTCTTCCTTCCTTTGTTAGTCAAGATGCTGGACCTGACACTATTATTTTCACACCCATTCAGATCTTCCTGAAACCAGGTGCTCTGCCCGATCTGCAATGAAACAGATAATATATTTTCAAGGGGGCAAAACATATTTTGTTCAATGCTTCTGCTGCACATGGTGCCACAGACCTAGCAACTCCGCTGGGAATGTGTACCATGTTATTATCTTAACACACAGCAATTCATTCTTTCTCTAGCAGTATCCATATGATAGTTTGAAGCCCATATGCCACAGAGAAACAGCAGAATGCTTATAAAAAACCACCCCAGTGCCAATGACAGCTATTCTACCATTTATTTATAAACATAGATTAGAGCTGCTGAAGGGCAACAGGACAGAAGGTATGCTGACATTAGGTGATGATAAGCATTTTAGACTGAAACAGGTACTTTATTTTTAAGAGGAGAACCTCCACATCTCAAGATGTTAAGTTTACCCTTCTGGACCCTACTCATACTGTTCCCTTTATTTTTGACACGTTCTGCTTTGCATTGTGTCATTGACCTCTTCCATGTCCAACACCAGTATTATCAACCGGGGCACTTTGTAATTGGTGGCATCACTTCACAATTCTTTTCCCCCAGCTTCTCAATAGACTTCAGGGAGAAGCCAAAGGAAACACCTGCTGATGAATATACGTAAGGAAATATTTTTATTTTTCTGGGGGGGGGGGAAGCTCCTGGTTATGTAAGTAAATAATAAAAAAACTAGATAATTTTCTTTATATAGAATAGTTTTTATTTGGTTTTAAAAAATATATACTTCTAACAAAATCAATTACAAATTCATATAAAGAGATTACTCTGAATCTCACAACTTCCCCCATCCTCTCCATGGCTTCTAATGTCAACATTTACAACTGAATATCAATCTGTTATTCTTTTTTTTAATCCCAAAGTCTTTATTACTTTACAAGTCAGATTAAAATCCTGCTAATGTTTTCATCTGTTTACAATGGTCTCCTAAATAAATTATAATTTTTCCCCATTCTTTTTTAAAGTTCTTGTCCTCTTGGTTCCTGAGCTTTCCAGTTAGTTTTGCCATTTCAGCATACTCCATCAACTTGGTTTGCCATTCTTCCCTAGTCGGGATTTATTCTTATTTTCACCTCTGGGCTAATAACATCTGAGTGGCTATTGTCACATACATAAATAGTCTTTTCTGATCCTTTGGAATCTCAGTACTTATAATTGCTAATAAAAAAGCTTCCAGGTTTTCAACAAACATTCTTTTAAAATTTTTCTCAATTCATTATATATCATATCCCAGAAAGTTTTTATTACCTTACATGACACCACATATGTCATACTTTTCACTCTGTTCTATACATAGAGGTCATAAGAACTAGCAAATGTAAGAAAGGCCAAGGACCCATATAGCCCCACGCTATGATCTCACAGCAGCCAACCAGATGGCCACGATAAACCCACAAGTAAGTCCTGAGCATTACCAGGAACTGGGATTCAAAGGCATAGTGCCTCCAATGGTGGGGAGAGAACATAGCCACTGTGGTTAGCAGCTACCTCCCTTGTTGCTGTTGTTGTTGATGCTGCTGCTGCTGCTGCTGCTGTTGTTTTAATCTTCATTTAAAGCCATATAAATTGTTGACCATTGCTAAATCTTGTGGGAGTAAATTTCATCGTTTACCTAAGTATTTACTTTCTTTTGTCTCCCCTGGATCTTTCAAAATTCAATTTCATCGCATGTCCTCAGATTATAATCTTATGAGATAATGTGTGTATTTGTGTGTGTTTATCCACTTTCAAAACATGAGGTCTGTCCAGCAGAAGCAAGACAGAAGCAGAAAAACCCACCACATGCATAACTCCTCTATTTTTTTCAGCGCAGTACCAAAGAACTACCAGCATGTCCTTTCCCTAGTCTTTGCTGTGAATGAGGTCAACGAGAACCCCAACATTTTATCCAACATCACTTTGGGGTTCCAGATCTATGACAGCTACTGTGATGCAAAGATGACTTATCAGAATACTTTGAACCTCATCTCTCATCATAGGAAAACCATCCCCAACTACAAGTGTGGTGTTGATAAGAACCTGATAGCTGCCATTGGGGGCCTTGACTCTGAAACTTCAAGCCACATGGCCTCCATCTTGGAGCTTTATAAGATTCTACAGGTAGGAAGAGTGTGGCTGGAATGAAGACTCCACAACTGTTGTGTATGATTTAGTCTTAGTGTATATTCTCAGGGCATTGGGAGGGGGAGAAGGAAAGGAGTATGTTTTTTGGCAGGCTAAAACAAATATTTCTTGCTTATTTATTTATTAAATTAAAGAATAATAATAAAACTACCCTGTTCTTTCAGCATTCAGTATGCCATGACTAGAAGAAATTAAGATCAATTCCCTTAGCAGGCCACTGAGGGCGTATGGTATGAAGAAATCAGAATTTTAAACTGTATGACAAATTTTTTCAAACATCAGGTTGGGATCCACCAGTGGATTGTCCTCAGTGCCAAAGCCAGACCAGTTCCCCCTCTCTTGCCATGACAACACCCTTAGGTTGGATCACTGTCAATGTGGTTTGGAGATAGGGAAGGTTTATGGGGAGAGATGTTAAATTGGATGGGTATTGGAAATAAAGGAAATTGGAACGTGGGATAAAAGACTAATGTTTATTAGTACATAAATCTATTAGCAAATATATATTAAGCTAAGAATACAAAGGAAATGGATGAGTAAGTTTAAAAAAGTCATAAATAGGAAGTGAGTGTAAAGTGATCAGGAAGGGGGGATGAAAGAAACTGAAAGTATATGGTTGAGTGGACGAGAAAGATATACCATAGATTCCAGCGTATAAGATGAATTTTTAACCCCAGAAAATCCTCTAAAAAGTCGGGGGTCATCTTATACGCCGGATATGGGTTCACTGCGCAGCAGCAGTGGGCGGCGGGCTCTGCGCTGGGAGGAAGCTGCCCAGCGATAATAAGCCGGCTTCGCTGGGCGGCTTCCTCCCAATGCGGAGCGGAGCCCGCCGCCCACTTCTCCTGCTCAGCGAAGCTGCTGAAGCTGCCAAAGCCGGCTTAGCATCGCTGGACAACTTCGCCGGACAGCTTCCTCCCAGCATGGAGCCCACCGCCCACTGCCGCTGCCCAGCAAAGCTGCCGCATATAAGCAGCTGCCAATTTGGGGGGTCGTCTTATATGCCCAGTCACCTAATACGCCGGAATCTACAGTAAGTGGTGTGTGAAAGGAGAATGTGAGATGAAATGACTTTGAGGAGCATGTGGAGCTGGGAATGGAAAAAATATAAAATCATAGGTTTTATCCACTTAGAACCCCTGGATCAGGAAATTCTCCCTAAAATAGATTAACTGAGTCACAAAATCTCCATAACAAATGTTTGTGCATAGTTTAGAGGAAAGCTGAGCTATGGAACCCATTTTTCAGAAGGAAAATATTGTGAAAAATAATTCAACCATTTTCAGAGATGAATTAGTTATCTGTAGAAAATCATGTCAGGAATTTCCAGCTGATTATGCCAAACTCTGCCTCTGCCTAACTATCATACGTCTAATGGGCCTCAGTAATTTTCAGCCATGTAAGTGGGGACTGTGCTTAGGAAAAATGAGAAAGTTTGACAAACCATGCTTTAGAAGATTCTACAAATTTTGCTCTGAAGTATCACATGGAAATCAGCTCTTTTTCCTGCAAGGCGGACCTCCCAGCACCATTTTATGTGTGCTGTAAACAGAAGGAAAGGTGTAGAGGTGAAGAGCTAGGTTGGTGTGATGAAAACGCACCAGTATCCAATCCAGCACTCACCATAATGCATTTGCCTCTCTCCCTTCCTTTTTGCCCTCAATGTACAAGAGGCCAAATAAGTTCCCCTGACCCACTCCACCAGCCACTACTGCCTATAAGACATGGTAAGAGTAGGAAAATGAGGCGCAGGGATGCGGAAAAGCAAATTCAAAAAATAATCCTTAAACTCAGAAAGTTATTGAACTCAGCAAGAATAAAAAACCTCAAGACACATAAATATCCTACCTGGCGATTTAAAAATCCCATTGTTCTTCGCTAGATCACCTATTCTTCATTAACTCCAGCTGTGAGTAAAAAAGACCCTATTTCTTCGTTGTACCAAATGGCCCCCAGTGAAGAACATCAATACACCGGCATTGTTCAGCTTCTTCTCTATTTCCAGTGGAAGTGGGTTGGGATATTTGTCACAGCTGACGATAAAGGAGAAACGTTTGTGAAAAAGTTGACAAGCCAGCTTTCCCAGAATGGAATCTGTATAGCTGTCACTGAGAGAATGGTAACCAACCGGGGTTTTGATGATACTGGGTTGATAGAGAAATGTCAGAATATGGCCGAGTCCCTAAGCAAAACAAATGTCAATGTATTTGTTGTCAATGCAGACAAAAACACGAAGACAGGTTTGCAATGGCTGCTACTGATAGGTAGAATGATGAGTATGAGTCCCATAAACAAAGTGTGGGTTATGACCGCCGACTGGGATTTCTCTTCAGAGCCATACCACAAAGATCTGGATATACAAAACTTCCATGGTGCCTTATCCTTTGCCATTCATTCCAGTGAGGTGAAGGGGTTCCACCCTTTCCTCTTGAACCTAAATCCCCATTCTGAGGCCGATGGCTTTATCAGGTTGTTCTGGCAACAGGCATTTGGTTGCCAGTTTTTAGATGTGGAAACGGAGGAGGAATTCTGCACTGGTGAGGAGAAGCTGGAGAGCCTTCCTGGGGCTTTTTTTGAAATGCAAATGACCAGCCAAAGCTACAGCATCTACAATGCCGTCTATGCTGTGGCACATGCTTTGCATGCCATGTTGGCACCCAGAACCAAACAGGGAGAGATGGTGCTTGGTAACTATCTGGGACCTCAAAATCAATATTTCCAGGTAATGTCTAACATAGTTTGTCAAGGAATACACACTTGCATTGGTTTGGTGAAATTCAATACGCAGTTCAAAAGCTTTTGTTGTATTAAAATCTATGTAAAAAGAGTTGAATGGAAATGTTGAACTTAGGTTGGATGGATATGGATTGAGGATTAAATCTGTAAATTAGAATTTAAGCCTCCTATCCAACATGTGTGGGAGAAAAAAGATGGCAAGGAGGCTGTGAAGCTAGGAATTATGAAATTACACATTTTATCCCTGTTTATTTGTGTTCTGCTGATCTTTCCTCAGTTTCTACCTGTTGCTCAGAATAAACCAGGCAAATTTGTAAAAGTAAAAATGTTTACTTACATTGAATGAAGGCAGCTACTACCTCTAGGTAAAAAATGCTTCTCAATTACGAAATACAAAATTAGTTTCTGAAATGGAATCTAGGCAGGTATGTCTCCCCTGAAAACTCAAGGGGAGCTTCAGCAAATAGTATGAATTGATCCCAGCATGAGAAAACAGAAGCTTTGTAGTGTCTTCTCTATTTTTACCAAATCTACCATTCTCTTTCTTCCTCTGTAGCTTCAACCTTTCCTGAGGAATATCTTGTTTAACAACAGTGCTGGGGACACTGTCTTTTTTAATGAGAAACGTGAGCTAGAAGGTGGATTTGATATTATCAACTGGGTGACTTTCCCAAATAAGTCCTTCTTAAGAGTGAAAGTTGGGAAACTGGATCCTCAAGCTCCACTGGGCAGTGATTTCTCCATTGATGAGAAGATCATTACATGGCACCAGAGTTTTAACCAGGTAGGACCCAGCTGCAGCTTCTGAGGTTTATAGGTAGACATTCACCAGATTTGTTTCATAATCATGTACACCCTGCTGAATGAGTTCCTTTTAGCTGCATTGATTCTTTGTATGTTAGGGATGGGTTGTTTACATGTCACTGTAGTGATCTTGGCTTTCAGGATTTAAAACCGTGCAGCTCTTCCCTGAAACACCATTTGAAATGCCTAGACTATTTAGTTGAACCAAGATTTGTTGACCAGTGGTAGGGGTGTTGGTGTAGTGTGGCTAGCAGCAAAGGGTTAGAACCTTGTAGTCATTCTGTGGAAGAACTTTTTAGGTGTCAGGGAATTATAAATTAATAAGAATTATAATTAATTTTGGTGTGTTCTTTGGCTCCCATATACATCTGCCTACGCACTGTATTTCTGCTGTTGCCATGTTTGAGATTTCATTTTTCTTAAGGTGGATTGTCAAATAATTATCCAATAATGAAATAAATGTTTTATAATGAGAACATCCACATGCAACAAGCACAGAAAGCATGCAATACATAATTGTGCTTTGTAGGAATCTTTCATTTCATTTCTGTGATTCATTTCTTTAATGGAACCAAGTTGCCACTTCTCATCTTTAAAAACATATTATAAAAGGCAAATTCATATCAGGAGATATTCACATTTTCTTTGCCTGAACCATTTACTGGCTGAGTGGCTCAGTTGCTTAGAGCAAGGTGCTGATAATGCCAAGGTCACAGGTTTGATCCCTTTATAGGACAGCTGTATATTCCTGCATTGTGGGGGGTTGGAATACATGATCCTCAGAGTCCCCTACAACTCTTCTATTATCTTTGTTGGGTTGAATATGCACCAATATTGGTGATTGTCACAACCATTGTAAAGTTAGTGGCATTAATTAATTAATTAATTAATTTTTTAAAAAATACCCTGTTGGGCGCCTTATTTCAATGCAGCAGCCTGTTGATGAAAAGGCAAAGAACAAACATAGAATAGAATACATGCAATAACTTCTGTTTTATGGGCAGGTGGTGCCCCTTGCCTTGTGTAATGACCACTGCCATCCAGGTTACAGCAGACAAAGGAAAGAGGGAGAACCATTTTGCTGCTATGATTGTACTCCATGTCCAGAAGGGAATATTTCAAACCAGACCGGTAGGGGACTGTTTGATATAGTATAACAACTATATTGAGAGCATGTTTTTGTTAGCTATTTATGAACGAATAGTCGCCTTACAAAATATTTGAAGATAAACCTTTACTTGTCTGGTTTTCAACCGTTGAACAAGTATCATTCACTCATATATATATATGAATAAGACACCTTACCCAAGACCTGAAGAGAAAGAATACTTGTCTGGTTGTCAACAGTTGAAAATCAAGTATTATTCATATATATATATATGAATGAGCTTCTGTCCCTTGAGCCCAAGAGAGGGTTTAGTCCTTTTTGTTTTCAAAGCTCCTTCATAGCATAGCATAAGCTAATAAACCAAATCTTGCCTGTCCTCAAAAATCCCTCCAGACAATGTCTGCTTGATGTCACCAAACTCCCACGCTCTCAGTCAAAGATGCAACTAACAGAAGAACGAACCAACCGTCAAGTACCAACTGCCTCCATCTTTCCCGAATACCATTTATTGTTTGTGAAATATATTTACTGTTCTTAAACCAAGGTACCACTGTACAAGTGTTTTATCATAAACTATCTTATAAATTGCTAACCAGCATATCTTCTGCTTACCTCCACACCTGAAAACTTCATGGATTGCATGGACACCAACTTACTTGATCACCAAAATTCTAGAATTTTCAATTCAAGAGTATTTTTTTGACAATATTCCTAGGTGTGTTAACTGGATTATATCAGCACCTTTAGTCTTCCTTTGACATTAAGCTTCCTTTCTGGGATAGGAAATACTCTGAATATTGGTAAATGAAACTTCCTATTTTACAACCATTTCTACTGGTAAACTGTGAAACATTAATGTTTATTATTTCTCCATTCAGATAGCTTTGAAAGTTCTTATTGATGGACTAGGGATTTCTCCCCTCTAAACACACCCAAATTCCAATTCTATGCACGTGTAAACACAAACATACATTTATGGAGCTTATCATTTAGATTTAATTCTGATTTAATTATCCACTGGAAAGAATCTTCCAAAAATAGCTTACCATAAAGACAAAACATGTTAACACTCTAACAATTTCCTGGAAAAGATAATGTTTTGTATTGTGTATTTTGTAAATTACATTGAATTATAATACAGTTTCCTGATCCTAGACCATAAATATTTGTATCTCAGTGAGACTGAAAATGCTATAACTATAATCCTGATTTCTTTATACTGCCAGATATGGATAACTGCTTCCAGTGCCAAGAAGATCAGTATCCTAACCAGGAGAGAAACCATTGCATCAGCAAGAAAGAAAACTTCCTATCTTATGAATCACCTTTAGGCATCAGTTTGGCTCTTTTGGCTCTGGCTTTTTCTGCAACTACAGCCTTGGTGTTTGGAATCTTCATCAAACATCAAAACACTCCCATTGTCAAAGCCAACAACCGGAATCTCACCTACACCCTGCTCATCTCCCTCCTGCTCTGCTTCCTCTGCTCCTTGCTATTCATTGGGCGCCCCCAGTTACTGACCTGCAATCTACGACAAACTGCCTTTGGTATCATCTTCTCAGTGGCTGTTTCTTCTGTTTTGGCTAAAACCCTCACTGTGGTTCTGGCTTTCATGGCCACCAAGCCAGGATCCAAGATGAGGAAATGGGTGGGGACAAGATTTTCCACCTCTATTGTTCTTGGTTGTGCTTCTATTCAGGCAAGTATTTGTATAGTATGGCTCTGTACTGACCCTCCTTTTCCGGATCTGGACATGCACTCTCTGCCTGAAGAAGTCATAGTGGAATGCAATGAAGGCTCAGCCAACATGTTCTACTCTGTTCTTGGTTACATGGGATTGCTGGCTCTTGTCAGCTTTGTTGTGGCCTTCTTTGCTCGGAAGCTGCCAGACACTTTTAATGAAGCCAAATTTATCACTTTCAGCATGTTGGTGTTTTGCAGTGTGTGGCTTTCTTTTGTTCCATCCTACTTAAGCACCAAAGGGAAGTACATAGTGGCTGTGGAGATCTTCTCCATCTTGGCCTCCAGTGCTGGAATCTTGGGTTGTATCTTCTCCCCAAAATGTTATATCATTGTCTTCAAGCCTGAACTCAACTCGAAAGAGCAGCTAAAAAAGAGAAATAAGTAACAATCTAACTATTAAAATCATTATAGTGGATAACGTTTTAAATGTTTTAAGGTTTGTATGTTTGGGAAGGCTTCAGCTTTCAGGTTCTCTTGATATTGTTGTTGTTGCTGTTTAGTCGTTTAGTCGTGTCCGACTCTTCGTTACCCCATGGACCAGAGCATACCAAGCACTGCTGCCTTCCACTGCCTCCCGCAGTTTGGTCAAACTCATTCTGGTAACTTCGAGAACACTATCCAACCATCCCGTCCTCTGTCGTCCCATTCTCCTTGTGCCCTCCATCTTTCCCAACATCAGGGTCTTTCCCAGGGAGTCTTCTCTTCTCATGAGGTGGCCAAAGTATTGGATCCTCAGCTTCACAATCTGTCCTTCCAGTAAGCACTCAGGGCTGATATCCTTAAGAATGGATAGGGTTGATCTTCTTGCAGTCCATGGAACTCTCAAGAGTCTCCTCCAGCACCATAATTCAAAAGCATCAATTCTTCAGTGATCAGCCTGCTTTATGGTCCGGCTCTCACTTCCATACATCAGTACTAGGAAAACCATAGCTTTTACTATACGGACCTTTGTTGGCAAGGTGATGTCTCTGCTTTTTAAGATGTTGTCTAGGTTTGTCACTGCTTTTCTCCCAAGAAGCAGGGGTCTTTTAATTTCGTGGCTGCTGTCACCATCTGCAGTGATCATGGAGCCCAAGAAAGTAAAATCTCTCACTGCCTCCATTTCTTCCCCTTCTATTTGCCAGGAGGTGATGGGCCCAGTGGTCATGATCTTCATTTTTTTGATGTTGAGCTGCAGACCATATTTTGCGCTCTCCTCTTTCACCCTCATTAAAAGGTTCTTTAATTCCTCCTCACTTTCTGCCATCAAGGTTGTGTCATCTGCATATCTGAGGTTGTTGATATTTCTTCCAGCAATCTTAATTCCGGCTAGGGATTCATCCAGCCCAGCCTTTCGCATGATGAATTCTTCATATAAGTTAATTAAGCAGGGAGAGAATATACAGCCTTGTTGTACTCCTTTCCCAATTTTGAACCAATCAGTTGTTCCATATCCAGTTCTAACTGTAGCTTCTTGTCCCACATAGAGATTTCTCAGGAGACAGATGAGGTGATCAGGCACTCCCATTTCTTTAAGAACTTGCTATAGTTTGCTGTGGTCGACACAGTCAAAGATTTTTGCATAGTCAATGAAGCAGAAGTAGATGTCTTTCTGGAACTCTCTAGCTTTCTCCATAATCCATCGCATGTTTGCAATTTGGTCTCTGGTTCCTCTGCCCCTTCGAAATCCAGCGTGCACTTCTGGGAGTTCTCGGTCCACATACTGCTTGAGCCTTCCTTGTAGAATTTTAAGCATAACCTTGCTAGCGTGTGAATTGAGTGCAATTGTGCAGTAGTTGGAGCATTCTTTGGCACTGCCCTTCTTTGGGATTGGGATGTAGACTGATCTTCTCCAATCCTCTAGCCACTGCTGAGTTTTCCAAACTTGCTGGCATATTGAGTGTAGCACCTTAACAGCATCATCTATTAAAATTTTAAATAGTTCAGCTGGAATACCATCACTTCCACTGGCCTTGTTATTAGCAGTGCTTTCTAAGGCCCATTTGACTTCACTCTCCAGGATGTCTGGCTCAAGGTTAGCAACCACACTACCTGGGGTGTACGAGACAGCCATATCTTTCTGGAATAGTTCCTCTGTGTATTCTTGCCATCTCTTCTTGATGTCTTCTGCTTCTGTTAGGTCCTTACCACTTTTGTCCTTTATTATCGTAATCTTTGTACGAAATGTTCCTTTCATATCTCCAATTTTCTTGAACAGGTCTCTGGTTTTTCCCATTCTATTGTTTTCCTCTATTTCTTTGCATTGCTCGTTTAAGAAGGCCTTCTTGTCTCTCCTTGCTATTTTTTGGAAATCTGCATTTAATTTCCTGTATCTTTCACTATCTCCCTCGCATTTTGCTTGCCTTCTCTCCCCTGCTATTTGTAAGGCCTCGTTGGACAGCCACTTTGCTTTCTTGCATTTCCTTTTCATTGGGATGGTTTTCGTTGCTGCCTCCTGTATAATGTTGTGAGCCTCCGCTCATAGTTCTTCAGTCACTCTGTCCACCAATTCTAAATCCTTAAACCTGTTCCTCACTTCAACTGTGTATGCATAAGGGATTTGATTTAGATTGTATCTTACCGGCCCAGTGATTTTTCCTACTTTCTTCAGTTTAAGCTTGATTTTTGCTATAAGAAGCTGATGATCTGAGCCACAATCAGCTCCAGGTCTTGTTTTTGCTGACTGTATAGAGCTTCTCCATCTGTGGCTGCAGAGAATATAATCAATGTGATTTCGATACTGCCCATCTGGTGATGTCCATGTGTAGAGTCGTCTCTTGTGTTGTTGGAAAAGCGTATTTGTGATGACCAGCTTGTTCTCTTGACAGAACTCTATTAGCCTTTGCCCTGCTTCGTTTTGATCTCCAAGGCCAAACTTGCCAGTTGTTCCTTTTATCTCTTGATTCCCTATTTTAGCATTCCAATCCCCTATAATGAGAAGAACATCCTTCTTTGGTGTCATTTCTATAAGGAGTTGTAAATCTTCACAGAATTGTTCAGTTTCAGTTTCTTCAGCACCAGTAGTTGGTGCATAAACTTGGATTACTGTGATGTTAAAAGGTCTGCCTTGGATTCGTATCAAGATCATTCTATCATTTTTGAAATTCCATCCCAGTACAGCTTTCACCACTCTTTTGTTGACTATGAGGGCCACTCCATTTCTTTTACGGGATTCTTGCCCACAATAGTAGATATGATGGTCATCCAAACTGAATTCACCCATTCCTGTCATTTTTAGTTCACTGATGCCCAGGATGTGAATATTTTTCTTGCCATCTCACTTTTGACCACATCCAACTTACCCAGGTTCATGGTTCTTACATTCCAGGTTCCTATGTAGTATTTTTCTTTACAGCACTGGACTTTCCTTTCGCTTCCAGGCATATCCACAACTGAGTGATCTTTCAGCTTCGGCCCAGCCACTTCATCAGCTCTTAATCTACTTGTAATTGTCCTCCACTCTTCCTCAGTAGCATGTTGGACGCCTTCCGACCTGAGGGACTCATCTCTTGATATAGATGTTGCTTAGTGTCAGAACTTCAGCTGTCAAAATATGGAAAACCTTACAGTACTTGCAACCTGCTCCAGTATAAAAATATATGTTGTTTAGTATTAGCTGAAAAATTTGCTCATAAAAAAAATGTGTTCCCAAAGTCTGTGAATGTCATGAAATATTCTGTGCAGTTTGGTGGGATTTTATCATGTACAGAACACAAGAAATAGAGACACAAAGGATTCCTTACAACATGCAATTTGGCCTTCGAAATGTTCTTAAGTACTCTACTTATCTAATTTAAATCTCTTTCAAATATATTGGTTTTGTGTATTTCTATTTGTACTTCTACACCTAATATTTTTATTGTATTGTTCTACTTGATTTATTTTGATTAATTAATATAGAACATGTGATAGTAGAAGGGACGCGGGTGGCGCTGTGGGTTAAACCAAAGAGCTTAGGACTTGCCGATCAGAAGGTCGGCGGTTTGAATCCCTGTGACAGGGTGAGCTCCTGTTGTTCGGTCCCTGCTCCTGCCAACCTAGCAGTTCAAAAGCATGTCAAAGTGCAAGTAGATAAATTGGTACTACTCTGGAGGGAAGATAAACGGCATTTCCGTGCACTGCTCTGGTTCACCAGAAGCAGCTTAGTCATGCTGGTCACATGACCCGGAAGCTGTATGCTGGCTCCCTCAGCCAATAAAGCGAGATGAGCACCGCAAGCCCAGAGTTGGCCACGACTGGTCAGGGGTCCCTTTACATTTACATTTAAGCGATAGTAGAGTTGGAAGAGTCCCTGAAGGGCTCTGTGAACCATACCACAAAGATCTGGATGTACTAAACTTCCATGGTGCCTTATCCTTTGCCATTCATTCCAGTGAGGTTAAGGGGTTCCACCCTTTCCTCTTGAACCTAAATCCCCATTCTGAGGCCGATGGCTTTATCAGGTTGTTCTGGCAACAGGCATTTGGTTGCCAGTTTCTAGATGTGGAAACGGAGGAGGAATTCTGCACTGGTGAGGAGAAGCTGGAGAGCCTTCCTGGGGCTTTTTTTGAAATGCAAATGACCAGCCAAAGCTACAGCATCTACAATGCCGTCTATGCTGTGGCACATGCTTTGCATGCCATGTTGGCACCCAGAACCAAACAGGGAGAGATAGTGCTTGGTAACTATTTGGGACCTCAAAATCAATATTTTCAGGTAATGTCTAAGATAGTTTGTCAAGGAATACACAGTTGCATTGGTTTGGTGAATTTCAATACGCAGTTCAAAAGCTTTTGTTGTATTAAAATCTATGTAAAAAGAGTTGAATGGAAATGTTGAACTTAGGTTGGATGGATATGGATTGAGGATTAAATCTGTAAATTAGAATTTAAGCCTCCTATCCAACATGTGTGGGAGAAAAAAGGTGGCAAGGAGGCTGTGAAGCTAGGAATTATGAAATTACACATTTTATCCATGTTTATTTGTGTTCTGCTGATCTTTCCTCAGTTTCTACCTGTTGCTCAGAATAAACCAGGCAAATTTGTAAAAGTAAAAATGTTTACATACATTGAATGAAGGCAGCTACTACCTCTAGGTAAAAAATGCTTCTCAATTACGAAATACAAAATTAGTTTCTGAAATGGAATCTAGGCAGGTATGTCTCCCCTGAAAACTCAAGGGGAGCTTCAGCAAATAGTATGAATTGATCCCAGCATGAGAAAAAAGAAGTTTTGTAGTGTATTCTCTATTTTTACCAAATCTACCATTCTCTTTCTTCATCTGTAGCTTCAACCTTTCCTGAGAAATATCTTGTTTAACAACAGTGTTGGGGACACTGTGTTTTTTAATGAGAAACGTGAGCTAGAAGGTGGATTTGATATTATCAACTGGGTGACTTTCCCAAATAAGTCCTTCTTAAGAGTGAAA